GTTCTTGGCCATCTGGTTCCCCCTGAGGCTGCAGATCACCACCCCGCGTGCCCGGGCCATCATCGTGCTCATCTGGATCATGGCCGTGTGCTCCGCCGTGCCCTACCTCGTCTACTTCGAGACCAAAGTCGTTTACGAGGACTTGCCTGAACTGCGGGTCTGCGTGGAGGTGGGTCGTGGTTATCTGTTGGAATGAAGGGGTTTATAGATAGAAGATAAGTGTATAGATAAAGGAGGAAAATTTGAAGGAAAATACATATATACATATACATTTGCCCACACACACACAAACACACACACACAAATACGCACACACACACACACACAAATATATATATACATTTTGAAATTTCCAAAAGGACTTCTGGAAATGGTTCCAGCAGCGGGAGGCCGCCTGGCTAAGTGTGTAAAGAGCCAGAGGGTGTACTTTGAAGGGGATTCAGCTGAAATAGGACGGTTTTCATTTTATATTCAAAGGTTAAATACTTTATCTATCTATCGATCGTCTAATTTTATTCATATATCCATCTTAAGATCCGTCTGTCTACACGCAGATATACAATTTAGTCAGACTATGTATGCAAAAGTTTACTGTATCAGGTTTCCTAGATAATAAGTTCCTAGGTAATAAGATTTCTATATTTCCTCCAGCCTAAATATAGACTTACATTTGATACAAAGAACAAACACAAGTGCTTCAATACACCCACGCCCACAGAAACTCGACCCGGCTAACTGCTCTTGTCACAAAACCTCTCAATTTTCTCAGAAGTTGGTCGCGTCTTTCAATGAGTTTTCAGTCTTTGCTGCACTCTTAAAAAATCTTTTTGATCTCCCTGTCTGTTTTGCATTTTAGTTCCTATTTGTGTTTTTCTTTTATCCTGATCTCTCTCTCTCTCTCTCTCTCTCTCGTTCTCTATTTCTCTCTCTCTCTCTCTCTCTCTCTCTTCTTACCCCCCCCCCCCACCATCTCTCTTTCTCTATTTCTCTCCACTTGTATCATTCAAGTAGGGACAAGTATAAAAAAAAAGAAAGATACACAAACACATTCAAAGAAATACACACGTACACACACACCTTTTTACCACGTAAGTATAGTCGTCCTTGCTACTCACTCTCTACTCTGTTCTCGACAGGACTGGCCCAACCGTCAAGCCGAGCGTCTCTACTTTCTCATTGCTCACCTGCTGTTCTGCTACCTGCTGCCGCTGTCTCTCATCATCCTATTCTACGTCCTGATTTGGTTCAAGGTGAGAATTTGTGAGGCGAAAGGTTAGTTTGTGTTCTAGGTCGTGTGTGTTTTCTTTTTCTTGTATGTATGTTTTCTTGTATGTGTGTTTTCTTTGTATGGTATGTTCACGTTATTCGCACATCGCGTTGTGTGGGATTCAGTCGTGAATGAAGCTTCGAAACCTTGTGGTCATTATCAAGTAAAAAATATAATTAATATAAGAATATAAAATTCAGTATGCCTAAGTGCACTTTATTAATTGAAATAATGAAAATTCAAGTCCGTAAAATTCTGAAATACTTTATATATTAACACGAAAATCTGATACTTATTCATTTAATCAATCGTCATGATTCACTCAAATCTAATCTAATCAGCATTCGTAAAAAAGTCATTATCATTTAAAAAATGCACGTGCTATGTAACCATTATCGGTCTGTTATGCGAATTATCTGAAAAAGTCCAGGATCCTGCATCGAATACCCAAATGAAGCAGATAATGTTTCGAAGCTTCATCCATAAATCAGGATTCGGTCGCGGCTACACATACCACACGAACTACTCGGTTATATAGAAGGCAAATTGCAAAGCTGATTCAATATCTCTCGTTTTGATACGGGAGTTACGCCTCTTCTGCCTGTGTGTGTTGTGAAGTTATGATGTCAGTGTTAGGATATGGTGTCCAGAGTGAGTTAGGATAAGTGCGTGACATCACTATAGAGTAACCGGTTTCGATAACTTTAATATCATCTTTTAATGTCAGTTATTTTTTGTCCCCGGAATGCTACCTATATATACTACTTAGATATTTTGTTACATGATACTCAAATACCCAAATACTAAAAAAAAGAAGGAACAGCGGCGAGCATTCACAAATTTTCGCCCCCGAGGCTCAGATATAAAAAATAATTAAAAAAAAAGTTGCGAGACACCCTTTAAAAACGCGCTCCAGTGATTCTGTCTCAAACTCCACTTGTTATGAATGCGTTCAGTGGCGGGAGCGATCAGTTTGTTGCTCAAATAAGGATCCCAAAGCTGTCAATACACAGATAGCACTTTATGAAGGCTGCCTGCAAAACTTCCCATTTGCATAGTAAACGGTTTGTTGCTTCAACAGCATCAATCACTCACTGCAAGCGAGAGAGAGTGTCAACTTCCTTTGAATGCAACGTATGTATCGTCAAGGGCACCTTTTTAGGGGTCTATATTAAAAAGATATTCAGAATTTACTTAAGAATACCAGACATTTTTAGGTATCTTTGGGGGCAAAAGATATCAGGCACTTATGATAAAGTGAATTTTCACCTGTATATTATCACCATGTTATCATTATCATCATCATCATTATTATGAATCATCACCAATACCATTATGATGATGATAATAATAATAGTAGTAATAATAATGGTGATGATAATAATGATGATAATGATAATGATAATGTTAATGGTGATAATGATAATTATGGTAATAATAAAAGAAAAGTCTACATTCACACTAAACGGACTGGTAAATAAATCCCTCCCTCCCCCTCCCCCTCCTCTTCTTCTTCTTCTCCCCTTCCCCCCCTCCCTTCCTCCCCCCCGTCTCCCCCCCCGTCTCCCTCAGGTGGCCAACCGCAACATCCCCGGCGACACCCGCGATGCTGCCATTCACGAGATGCAACAGAGGAGTAAGGTCAAGGTTATAAAGATGCTGGTGGTCGTCGTCATCATCTTCATGCTGTCGTGGTTGCCGCTGTACACCATCTTCGCCAGAATAAAGGTAATGCTGTAGGTAGGAGGGGGGAGGGGGTAATGATGCTGTTGTGGGATGGGGGGTGGTGCTGTTGTGGGGTGGGTGATGCTGGTGTGGGAGGGGAGGTTATGCTGGTTGTGGGAGGGGGGGGAGGAGGAGGAGAGGGATGCAGCTGTGGTGGTGGTGCAGCTGCGGGGGAAATGCTGGTGTGTGTGTGTGTGGGGGGGGTGATGTTGTTGTGGGGGTACGGGGGATATGCTGGTGTGTGTGTGGGGGTCATAATGGTGTGGGGGGGGGTGATTCTGTTGTGGGAGGGGGGTTAGAGGAGGAGAGGAATGCAGCTGTGGTGGTGCGGGGGAAATGCTGGTGTGTGTGTGTGTGTGGGGGGGGGTGATGCTGGTGTGGGGGGGGTGATGCAGTTGTAGGGGGGGGGAGGAGGAGAGGAATGCAGCTGTGGGGGTGCGGGAGAAATGCTGGTGTGTGTGTTGGGGGGGGAGGTGATGCTGTTGTAGGGGGGGAGGAGGAGGAGAGGAATGCAGCTGTGGGGGTGCGGGGGAAATGCTGGTATGAGGGGGTGATGATGTTGAGGGGGTGTGGGGGAGAATACTGCTATGGAGGGAATGCTGTTACGAGAAAAAAAAAATCAGATAACTTTTGGCTTTAATATTCTTTTTCTTTCTTTCTTTCTTTTTTTTTACAGACACGAAGCTATTAGTTGACTTAATGATGGTAAATAGTCATTTGCATTCTTTCTGTTTGTATTGTTTGTTATTCAGATATGTATTTTAGGAAGAACAATCATAACTTTGTGTATGAAGCTATCTAGTATGTAGATAGACAGACAAGTAGATAGATAGAGAATTAGATAGATAGATAGACAAGTAGATAGGTAGGTAGATAGACAGATAGACAAGCAGATAGGAAGGTAGATAGACAGATAGAAGCAGATAGGAAGGTAGATAGATAGATAGACAAGCAGATAGGAAGGTAGATAGATAGATAGACAAGCAGATAGGAAGGTAGATAGATAGATAGACAATCAGATAGGAAGGTAGATAGATAGACAAGCAGATAGGTAGGTAGATAGATAGATAGACAAGCAGATAGGTAGGTAGATAGATAGATAGATAAGTAGATAGATACGTCGATAATAATGAATTGATAATCAGATAGATAAATTGATAGATGCATAGCTAGATAGCTAGATAGATGTACAGATGAATAGATAAATAAATAAATAGATGAATATATATATATATGTATATATATATGTATATATAGATAGACAGATAGATAGATAGATAAGTGAATAGATAGATAGATATATGGACTGACCAATGAATATGTATTTTCTTTCTTTAGTGTATCATATAACTTTCATTTATTTGGGTGACCCTTTTATTGGTAAGTTAAATTCTGTCGATCGCTCTCAGTATTACTATGCTCTCTCTCTCTCTCTCTCTCTCTCTCTCTCTCTCTCTCTCTCCTCTCTCTCTCTCTCTCTCTCTCTCTCTCTCTCTCTCTCTCTCTCTCTCTCTCTCTTTCTCTCTCTCTCTCTCTCTCTCTCTCTCTCTCTCTCTCTCTCTCCCCTCTCTCTCTCTCTCCTCTCTCTCTCTCTCCCTCTCTCTCTCCCTTCTCTCTCCCTCCCTCCCTCTCTCCCCCTTCTCTCCCCCTTAACTGAAGCGCCGCCCCCCCTCTCCCCTGCAGCTGGGCGACGAGCTGGGCGAGGACGAGGGCGCGGTGCTGGCCATCATCGCGCCCATCTCGCAGTGGCTCGGCTCGTCCAACTCGTGCATCAACCCCATCCTGTACGCCTTCTTCAACAAGAAGTACCGCAACGGCTTCCTGGCCATCATGAAGAGCCGGTCCTGCTGCGGCACCCTGCGCTACGACACGTACTCCCAGTCCACCATGCGCAGGTCCTGCTACCCGGCCTACCGCTCCACCATCCGGCCCGAGGCTGGGGGCGCCATGGAGCTGGCCAGGAACACCCACCGTGCGAGCGCAGGCTTCGTGTACACGCTGGACGGGCGCCCGAACCCCCCGCGCTCGCGCTACCAGGCGGGCGGGCGGCAGCGCACCCTGGCCAACGGGTTCTCGACGGCCCTCAGCCTCGCCGACAGCCTCACCACCACCGAGACCTCCATCGTGCAGCCCAGCTCGCGCTCCTCCTCCGTCGTGGGCAGCGCCGACGCGGCAGACTCCGAGGACAAGAAGAGCACCTTCACCAACGGCAAGCTGGACGGCGTCGATTAGGAGACCGGTCGAGAGGAACGGCAATCTCGCGTGGAAAGTAAAACCGTGCCGTTCCGCAGCCGCAACCTCCCATGAAGGAGGCGGCGGCGTCTTGCGGAGCCCGAGCACCAGCAGGAGCGCCTCGTCTTGGCAGCCAGAGGAGCTCGCCGAGAATTCCGCTCGAACTTCCTTCCCGTTTAGAGTGACTGTAAGTGTTCGGTGTCGCCCTTCTCTGTGGTGTCCTCCTGGCCGTGCGGCTTGAATCCCTCGGTGACAATAACTGTATTCTCAACCTTGAAATAGGATTATAAATATAACAAAAATTATATAATTTTACGTTGGTAACAAAAATATTATTCAAGTAGTTTCTAATCAGAAACTCAAAAGGGAAAAAAACAAATTTAAGTACGCTGTCTTTTCTGACCATTAAACTTAGTGTAAATTTATTCTAGTCATGTCAGCTACATGTACGGCTGTTTGTAAGAAATATTTATGGCCAAAGACCGATGGACTCGCATCCCTTTACAGATTCATGTCCTTTGCATCATTAATGATTATATAACTGAGCTAGAGCGGGGAGCTAGCAGGTCGTAGTACATCCTTAGATGTTAGTATTATATCACATATCGCAACTCTATGTTCAATTATACTTATCTGTTGATGTTAGCTAGTCGGAGGTAAGATTATATTAGGTGTGTTGCTGTCGTGTACAGTTCTCTGTTGTCGATCCTTATGGTTCTGTTAATTCGCAGGCGGTCTGGGTTAGATTAAGCGTTCTCCATGGAAGGCTAAGGCAGCGGTTCGGTAAATTAGGTGGAATAGAGATTTTATCATCGTTATAATAGCATATTCGTGCTTACTGCTCAGTGGAGAACCACTGTGTATAAAAACTTTTATATTGAACACACACACGCACATACACACACACACACACACACACACACACACACACACACACACACACACACACACACACACACACACACACACACACACACACACACACACACACACACACAGGCACACACACACACACAGGCACACACACACACACACAGACATACACACACACACACACACACACACACACACACACACACACACACACACACACACACACACACACACACACACACCGACTTAGTTATAGATATAGATATATGAATATATATAAATGGATATATGTGCGTGTAAGGACTGGATAACTGGATATAGATGTAGATGAATGAATTGCAAGATATTTTTTGTGTGTGTGTATTTGCACTCTAAGCTTAAACTTGTATTTATCTGATAAACATAGTTTTCCACACAACAATTATAAAAGAAAAGATTTACGTTCGTTGCCCCCATTATGTTGAAATCTCTTTTATATATTTTCCTTTCGGATTCAGTGTTATGATGTCTGTTTATGTTACTTATTTCGAGAAAACTTTGTCACCTGAAATATATAATCCTATTTTGTAGAAAATGAAGTACCATTATATGTATATTTAAATAAAGATATAAGCATCAGTCTGTGTTAATACCTATGTAAACGATAATGAATTTTATTGAATTGGCACACTGTAGACTTAGCGATTATAACGAAATAAGACATATTAAGTATATGAGAACTTCATATAAATATATTTGAATCTATTTTCCTTTATGTATTTTGGATAAACAGTTAGTATTTTGATAGTTCATGTTCGAGGAATTTCCATAATAGCATTCCCAACATTTGAAACATATTGTTTAGTATTTCAACCAAATTCATATATAAATATTACACACACACACACACACACACACACACACACACACACACACACACACACACACACACACACTACACACATATATATATAAATATATATATATATATATATATATATATATATATATATATATATATATATATATATATATATACATATATATATGTATATATAGACATATATATATATATATATATATATATATATATATATATATATATATATATATATATATATAGACATATATATATGTATATATAGACATATATATATATATATATATATATGTATATATATATATATATATATATATATATATATATATATATATATATATATATATATATATATATATATATATATATATATATATATATATATATATATATATATATATATGTATATATATTATATATATATATATATATATATATATATATATATATATATATATATATATATATATATATATATATGTATATATATATATATATATATATATATATATATATATATATATATATATATATATATATATAT